GGATTAGTTTTTGGCGAAGGCAGGTCTAGCCGTTCCGAAAATATAGGGCAAAATGTTCCAAAAATGGTAACTCAGTTTTTAAGAGAACGGAGCGTCCAATGTTAACAATTCAAAAAACGTCTTACTTGTATTGATAAGATGAAGAACTGCAAGAATTTTCATGAAGGCAGGTCAAGCGGTTTCGGAGATCTAATGAAAAAAGTAAAAAAATGCCATTTGGCGGTCAAAAATGATCATGAGACATATGCACATCAAATTATCAGATATTTTATATAGATTTTAACAATAAGTTTAAATTTTGTTTGCATTCCTATGGGTTCCGTATCAATGTTTATCCGTTAGACGGCGGCGCGACGCTTACGCGCTTCGATATTTCGTATCTATGCAATTAAAGCAGTACGATTGCTTTGAAAAAAAGTTCAAAACTTCCAAAATATGTCAAAATAAAGAAAACATTTTTTTTTTCAAAAAACAATTTTTTTAAAAAAAGTAATTCTCTGTCAAATTTATAGTTTCTCAAAAATCTAATTTTTTCGAAGTAATGTTTTTTTCAAAAATGTTAATCGTTTTTTAAATAAAAATAATTTTTAGTACGGGAAGTTCCAGCAATTTGCCTTAATGCACGATGCCATGCGCCCCACTTGTTGGTTTTTGTATTCGTAAATAGTACTTTGCCAATTTTTACCACCTTTCGCAAAACCTCACAGGTTGGAACCGACGTATTGATTTTATTTTATTCTTTTTGAAGTAAAACTTCTTTAGGCGCGACTAGGGTATAAATCCGTCGTTGTATATGTACCGATTGGTACAAAAGTTAAACACGATGAACAGTAGAATATCTTTATTTAATATATAATTAGAATCATTTAAATCACTCAGAATACACGTTGTTATAGGTTAGGTTGTTTGTATACAAGAGAACATATATTTTGTACAAAGCATAGTCGAAACCTATGCGCAAGATGGACGCTTTGCCCGGTAGTGGGAGAAGCCATACAAATAGTAGCGCGAAATTCAAATTAAAAACATATTTATCCACCGATATCAACAAGGAAATCGACATAGATAAATAAACATTTTAAAGTTACATCGTAGTACAAATCTTGATTTAATGAAAAATGACAGTATCGGAAGAATATTTTACCTTGTTTTTTGAAAATATTAAAACAAATTATACATTTGTTTCTTGATAAGAAATTATTTCTATATTATTCGTAGTTTCTATAAATCTTTGTAGTTATTAAAATGGAAAATATTTTTAGGCAAGACAGATATTACAACTGTTCAAAGAATAATAGTAATCGCCAGCAAAAAAGTAAAAAAATACAAGCCGCCGTAAATGATTGTATGTTAATTTTAATTACATGAAGTTCTTCAAACACAATTATTAAATGATGAGTGAGTGAAGTTGCAAAAACAATATTTGTTTAGGCGTTGTTTAACAGAATCCACTGTGTGAACGATAATATCATAGAATTTATTAATCAGCAATTACTTCATTTCTCTAATGAAGAACCGACAAACCGATCATGTCATATTTGAAGTATGACTTGAATTACATTATCGTTTTCAAATATTATACATATTTTTAATGCCATTATAGATATATAGATGTATAATGGCCGACACTAATAAATGTGTGCATCACTAGTGTTACCATATTACTGATAAACATTATTCAAAATTGTTATACGATGTATTTATTTTTGCTTAAATGCCATCTTGTACAACAGATTAAGATTAGATTGCTTAAATGCCATCTTGTACAGCAAATAAGTTTTACTTCACTTTTTTTTATTTCACTCAGACTTTGGCCGCACATCTAGCCAAGTTCTTGGGCACAAACAAACTGAAAAATCGACAAGCAGTAGCAAAGCTGCACGAGGCTGGAATTTTGTTTGCGGTTGGACAAAGTGGTAGCCCGAATGTGCCTCCAGATCGGTTATTATTTTTAGAAATATTAACCAAATTTTCAGCAAAGCTTGACGAAGAGGATAGATCTTCTGTGTGAGTAATAAATATTTACTGTAATACCTGGGTAAAATGTACATTTTAATAAGTGATCTCTGTATAGAAGAGGAGATCCCTTACATTTTTCGTTTTGTCTTAAGGGGGTATTCTACTGTACAATTTTGAAAAAATCGATTTTTTTTTTCATATTTTCAAAGTTGAGTTATTCAAAAATATGTCATTAAAAGGATTTTTCAAAATTACTATTATTTCCTGTGTTATAGCCGTTTTAGTGACGTGGCCTCGGTTCGGGTCCGACCGAATCTCAAAACTTTGAACGCGTTTTTCTTGGAACTACTTTTTTCGAGCTGGCGGTAAGGATATCTCGAGTTCTAATGAACCGATTTACTTCAAATTTGGAGAGGATCTTCTCTATACATCGCTTTCAACGCATAGACCTTTCCCAAAACTATAACTTTTCATTTAGTATTTTTAAAAAATTCGGAATTGTTAAAAAAAAACATGAAAAAAAAATTTTTTTTCAAACTGCCGCCATTCAAACAAAAATTTCTTTTTTAACTTATCCAAGGTTCATACGATAGCGGCATCTGTAATAATTAATAATCCATCTATTTTTTATGTTTCGGATCACCAGGAGGATTGGAATCATGCACGCCAGGACACCCTCTTTTTTTTTGAGCCCCCACTTCGACTGCTCATAACTTTGTGAATTCTAATTTTTTTTCTTTAATAATTTTTTTTTATGTAATAATAAAATATCAATAAACAAATGATAAAAAAATTGATAGTAAAAATATTGATTCCTTTATACAGCGCTTCAAAAACCGGGCAAAATTCATGCTTCTACAGTAGAATCAGGACCGGATTAGAAATTTGGCGCCCTGGGGCGGACAAAAATGCCGCCCCATCCCTAAATTTTTATTTAAAATAGTTTATATATCATTTTTCTAAAATTAAAATAACTATTTGATTGCAGAAAATTTATTACGCATTACATAGTGTTCATAGTCGTGCTTGGCATAAATTGCTGAAACTTCCCGTACCAAGAATTAAAATAAAAAAAAAAAAATTTAAAGCGATCGGCCTGCTTTAGCTGCGTAAAGAAGCAGAATGACAGATAAATAATTTTACAGAACCCATAAAAATGTAAACAAAATTTATATTATTAAAATATCTGATAATTTGATGTGCATATGGCTAATGATCATTCTTGACCGCCAAATGTTTCTCTTTCAAATTTTTTTATTGGATCACTGAAACCGCTAGACCTGCCTCCCACAAATTTAATCAGTTCTCCATTTTGTCTATATATGTAAATTTATTTTAATGATATTGGACGTTTAGTTTCTCAAAAAATGAATTATTATTTTTGGCATTTTGGCCCGTACTTCCGAAACAGTTCCGAAAACAACCCGTCTTGGCCAAAACTAATCACTACCACCAATCATTGTAATAAATCCACTCGGAATTTAACACTTTTAATCACTCATAAATTAATTTATATTTTATTGATTAAGTCGATTATTTAAACATATCGGGAAGTTCATGTAGCTTGCCTCAAGGCTAAATACCAAACCAAACCAACTAGTTGAAATCGGTTCAGCTTCACATACTCATTCCCAAACTTTTGTTCTCAAACGATTCAGATTGACTTGTCGCTTGCATTGACTTGTTATCGAGTTTTATCTATTTGATTTAAAACTGTTTTCAGATGATCGTCGGCAATTGGATTTGCCTGTACGTCCGAGACAGGTACAAGGCGTTGGCGGCCCTGGTATTACTTTTAGTAAACGCCAGCGGCTACAACGGCGTACAAGTGACCGCCCAAATGATGCAAACTTTTGAGCATGTTTCACTTGCTAATTACATAGAAGGAGGTTTTGTAGAGGTATAATAGATAATGCAATATATCACAATGTACTATCGAAGTGAAACTTCTTAGGCGACTTTGAACAAGGTTGCTTTCAATGCGTTCAATGGGTTCAATGCAAAGTGAGCTAATGTTTT